ATGCCAAGGGCACCTGCAGCCAGGGGAGTTCAGGCTGGCTCACCCCTGGTGTGCTGCCTTGGTTTTTCCTGCCTTTGGCTCCTACTTGTGCTGTGATTGAAGACTCTCTTTCCTTTGACTATCTCAAGAGACCACTGTGGGGTGAGAGCCAAAGGAATAAGAACTTGGCCCCTGCCCTGCCGTAAACACTCAGTCTGAAAGTCTAGAGGAGCCAAATGATGTTCTTCTGGTCAGCAAACCATGGACTGGCGTCTGGAGCAGCAACACCATCCAACCAAATGAATTCTCTGTGGTTTATGTCTTTTTGTGTCAGTTCGTTGTACAGAACAGCAGCCTTGCTACTGCACAAGTCCTAACCTAACTCGCGTGTGGGCCCACAGAAGATGTGCTCATAAACAGAAACAGAGGAGATGGAAGCTTACACTTAGCAATTCCAGATCTGCCAGACCCAATGGGCAATAAACCAGTGTTTCTGCAAAACATATTTTGCGTAAGCTGGGCGTGGTGGCGCACTCCTGTAGTCCCAGTGACTAGGGAGGCGGAGGCAAGAGGATCACTGAAGCCCAGGAGTTTGAATACAACCTGAGCAACATAGCAAGATCTCCTCTCAAAAACAAAACAAAACAAAACAAAAAAACCCCACCATACTCTGCAGAACTAGTAAATAGTATTGCATGAAAAAGGGGGTCAGAGATCAAAGAAGCAGGTGAGACAACATTGAGTTTCCTCACTGCACAATGTGAATTTTCAAGAGAACATGGAGAACGCAGGGGTTCCAAAAGTATTTCACTATGGAACCCCTTTACTGGGAAACACTTCATAGAACTAGGGTACCTCAGAAGATACTTTGGGAAACACTGGGTTTCAAAAGTTTGAGAACATTTATGGTAGAAATGGTTAGGACAGATCTAGATTCACTGCAAAGTAGTTAGACCATGCTGTCTTTCTCCATGGGTACAGCAGTGTGAGGTGGTGGATATGACCAGTAAGGAAGTATTTCCCAACCCCACCTAATTTTCAGACTCATCTAGGGTGCTCAGTAAAAGACGTAGACTCCCAGGTTCCACCCCAGACCTCCTGGACCGGAATGCCGGGGAGCAGCTGGGACTCTAACAAATACCTGAGGGAGTCTCATGGTCAACAGAGTTTGGGACAGTCTGTCCTTAAAGACACGCTTTGGTGCATACCCAGCTGCTCAGCAAACTTACTCAAAAGGATCCATTTTTTTTTTAAATTAAAAAGTATTTACAAATCATACATCTGTTTTTTTCTTTTGTTTTGTTTTGTTTTTGAGGCAGAGTCTTGCTCTGTTGCCCGGGCTAGAGTGCTATGGTGTCAGCCTAGCTCACAGCAACCTCCAACTCCTGGGCTCATGCAATCCTCCTGCCTCAGCCTCCCGAGTAGCTGGGACTACAGGTGGGCGCCACCACACCCAGCTAATTTTTTCTATATTTAGTAGAGACGGGGTCTCACTCTTGCTCAGGCTGGTCTCGAACTCCTGAGCTCAAGGGATCATCCTGCCTCGGCCTCCCAGGGTGCTAGGATTACAGGCGTGAGCCACAGCGCTGGGCCTAAAAGGATCCTACGATGGAGAGAGCCTAGAAGCGGAGTCCTGTTTCAGGCTCTGTGTCTGCTGCTTTTGTGACTTTGAGGGAGACTTGGTAGGCAGCAGGGACGCCAGGCCCGGATGGAGGTTATTAAATAGGGAAGGTGAGCACTGGCCTTCCAGGCTGAAGCTCTGGGTATCAAATGATTGAGGATAAACAGAAGGTCCTCAATTCAGGTTCTTCCGTAGCCGCTGACATTTATTCGGTGTGTGCTATGTGCCACGCACACTTTACATGTATCAACTCATTTAGTCTCCCCCCAAATCCGCACGTAGGCGACAACTTCAGTTCTCATTCTGCAGGGCACGTGGCTGAGACCTCCGTGCGAGCCAGTTGTTTACAGAGCCCAGATTCTCACCCACAGCTGTGCTCCCAACCCCATGTCCTACCTCCCTTCCGGAAAAACACCTGTGCTGGTGAACAGTTTATTGACAAAAAGTAGCGGGAAGCTTTCAGTTGGCTCATGCACATTTTTGGCTTGCGTCTGGGGTAAGGATTATTAGACCCATTTTACAGATAAGGCTGCAGGCGTCTGGCAAACTGATATTTCCCCGGGTCTCAAAGTCAGCAGGCCCCGCAGTTCTTATTCATTATCCAAACCTGGGCTCCCCCAGCTTCACGCTGTGAAGGGGCTGTCAGTGTATTTGCTAAGTAACAATTGTTGAGCATGTCTTACTTATCAAGCTTTTGAAGAACTGTTAGTACTCTTTTTTCAGATTAAGAAACTGAGCTTCAGAGAAATCAAGCGCCCAGGACCACACAGCCCCACAATGTGTCGAGGAGTACATTTCTTCTTCTTTATCCTGCTTGGAACTCATTGGGCTTAGTGGTGTCTTTTATCAGTTTGGAATTTTTATCCATCATGTCTTTAAATATCGTCTTTGCACCATTCTCTCTTCTCATTCTGGGATGCCAATGTCAGATCTTACTCTAGCCTCAAAACCTTTCGTATTTTCTTGTTTTCGTTTCTGTGCTATTTGTCTGACCCAGCTCTAGTTCCATCTTTCTTTAGCTGTGTCTAACTTGCTATTGAACCCAGCCATTGAGCTTTTAGTTTTTAGTTGTTGTATTTTCCATTTCTAGGCTTTATTGGTGGGTTTTTTCTTTCCCATCTGCTAGGCCATTTTTTTTTTCTTTTTTACAATGTTGAGTTCCCTACTTATAATTCCAAGCATTTCTTTTAAAAATGTTAAACATGGTTTAAAATAAATGTTGTATTATAATCTGTGATTGACAGTTTCACCACCTGAAGCCTTTGTGTTCTTGTTCTTACTGCTTTATTCTCATGAGTGTTTGTGTATTACCCACTGCCTGCCAAATTATTTGTGGGGATTCTACATGGCAGTTCCGTCCACCAGAAGATTTGTGTCTGTTTCTGCCCGATGTCTCGGAAATACCCTGCATCACACAGGTGATATGAAGCTGGCTGCAAACCTGCACCAAGGGCCAGCCTATGACCAAAATTCTCAGGGTCCATTTTTTCTGTCCTTTGATCTCTTGCACCCCTCAGCATGTTGAACATCTCTGCAATCTTCTGGATCGTCCCTACCTGAGCTCATAGTTCTCTGAGATCCCAGCTCCTATGAGGTTCCCCACCTTGGGTAGCTTTAGAGCCTGCTTGTTTCAACACAGCTGCCAAACAGGAAATCCATGTTTGTCCATGTAAGCAAATACCCTCAGCGCAAAAATGGCTTCAGGACCCCCTGTACCTTGCCCTTAAATTCTTGGCTTGGTGGTGGGTCTCTACTGTATTTCATTGGCTATTTGATGCTTTTAAGATTTTTTTTGTTTGTTTGTTTCAATTGTTTTCAGCAGGAAGGTCCAAATAATCTAACCCAGCTTCCACAGGAAACTGAAATCCCACAAAACCAAGCCAAGATTCAAACCCAGGTCTCTTTGATTATAAAATCTAAGCACTGAATAACTACTAAAATACATCCTAGTCTCTTTGGAAATTCTGATTCCATGATAAGAATGTCAGAGGCTAGCTGCCTCTCAATATCCATTTCTCTCTTTTTATATTTAAATTGAAAAGATATCTTTTTTCATAACTATTCATGTGGAATAAAACATATCTTAATTCCCTTTTTATTTCATAAAATAATTAAGTGAATATTTTAAAATATTAATTACAGAAGATTTTTGGTAAAAGGGTTTTGCTGGGCATACTGAATGTCCCAGACTCTTGCAGCCATTCTGTCTGGCTGAGTTCTGACCACCGAGAAGTATATGCGAGTAGAGTACAGTACTTCTGGGAGGAAGGGGGCTTCCCTTCCAGCAAAATGGTAATGTTAGGAGATCTGGCAGTCACCCTGGACCATGAGGACAAGGGCCATAGCCGAAGAATGATGGAACAGTCAGCTAGGAGGAGCCCGGGCTCCTGATGACTTGAGGGCCATCATACTTGCCCAATATTGGATTTTTAAAGAAATAAAAATGATCTTGTTCAAGCTACGACTATTTTGAGATTTTCAAATCCAAACCGACACAGATGAGAAGAGTCGAAAATAATCTCTGGCTAAGGGACTTGGCGAAGGATCCTTTCTCCCGCTACTTCTTCCATCCCACCACGCACAGGCCCACCAACGACTCCCTTCTCTCCCCAACCCCCTTCCCTTAACAACACACAAACCAGTCTGGGCCCAGCCTTATAAATATTGATTTTATAGAAAGGACCAATTCAAAACTGGTCAGATGCCACACGCTAGAAGCTTCCAGATCCACGATGATGAAAAAACAAAAAGAACCCCAAACGGAACAAACAAAAATACCCCAGACCAAACTGCCTGAAAATCAAGGTCCCAGTTGACCCAAAGATTCTAAAGAAACACAAGTTGCCGGGGGTGAGGAGACCCCAGGGCCTGAACAAGTACCCAGAGTGGAAGGAAAAACAACCCAGAAGTTCAAACCCACAGTCCCTGCCCACTGGCCCCCCACGCTGTCAAGAGCGAGGCAAAGGGCTTCACAGCTTTATTGGGGGGTGGGGAGGAGTGATGGCGAGAGCTTAAATAATGGGAGGAGGGGGATTCTTATACTTCAATTTTTTTTTTTTTGTCTCTTCCCCTATGGGGGAAGAGGAAAGACTGGTAACTTGAGGTGAATGATTTTTTACTTCTTTAATGGGGAAAACGTTAAATGGCAGGCCGTCATGAAAAAGTGCCACATTCAACCTGGGATCTGATGGCTCCCAATTCCTAGAGAGGTGAGCCCTGGTGTGGAAGGTTAGGAGAGGTACCAACCTCGGGTGCTGCAGCCTCTTGGGAGAAAACAGCTCCAGAGACCAAGGATTGGGGGAGACTGTGGGGGAAGGGCCAGAAAGGGGGACCCCTTAAATGGTACCAAAATTAGCTGCCGTCTGCTCCCTGCTGGTGGGTCCCTGGGGTGTAGAGGGTGGCAGGGAGGGAGTTGGGGCTGAAGGAAGAAGAAATTGAGATGCTGATAAAAAACACCCTACTTGAGGGTCCACGGCCCTGGGTCTGAAGAGTTAGGAAGCCAACAGGGGGTCACTCCGAGTGCTTTCTCAGGGCATCCCCCTGAATCCCCGCACAGTTCTGGTGGGGGGGTCGGGCATCAACGCTGCCTGGACTGCGGTATGGGCTGGTGGCCCAGTCCTGACCCTTGGCCCCCAGGGAAGGGGGGAGGGACAGGCATGGTGGGCTCTCCTCGCCCTGCCCCGGGTTCACCTGCCCTCCTCCCGGCCCCCCCGGCCCCCGCCCGGCCCGTTGCAGGGCAGCACCCAGTTGTTGTCGTGCAGGCCCAGGCGGCAGCCGGGCGTCTCGCGGTCGGCTCGGCGGCAGCACATCCAGTAGGAACGTCCGTAAGGCAGGTCGTGGTGGTAGGGCTTGGGGTGCCAGCGGCAGAGCGACACGTCGCCCTTCTCGTATCTCTTGCGGCACTGCTTGCAAGGGTCATCGCGGTAGAGCGGGTCTCGGCTCCAGCGCGAGTCTGTGGCCCGCACGCCAAATGCCTCAATGATGCCCTTGAAGTGGTGGCAGGTGCACTTGAGGGCTGCCAGGGCCCGCGTGGGCAGGAAGCTGAAGATCTTGACCAGCACGTGCTCGGGCAGCAGCAGCATGTACTGTCGCGGCTCCAGCAGCCGCTGGATCTTGAAGCGGATCTCCAGGAAGTCATGTGACACATGCCGGTACAGGCGGCACAGGGAGGTGTCCGCCGTCCCCTCAGCATCGTCCGGCCCTGGTGCGGTGGCTGGCGAGTCAGCTGGGGGTGGCTCAGGGGGCCCGTCTGGCCCACGGGACTGGAGGAAGAAGAGCTGGCCAGGTGGGGGCGGCTCCTCGGGGCTGACCGTCAGACACACCGTCTCCTCCTTCACGTTCTTGGTGCCATCCTTGCCAAAGAAGATGCACTCGTCCACCACGCCCGTCACCACCACGTCCACGTGGAAGCCGGATGCTCCGCAGTCCCGGGCAGGGGGTGGAGGGGGGGCCGGGGGCGTGTCCTCGGGCCTGGCCGGGGCTGGGCTCTCACCCTCGCTGGCTTCATCTGCCCGGGCCAGCAGGAACTCAACATTGCTGGGGAGGGCGTCCCGAGAGGGGCTGATGAGCTGGTACAAGTCACAGGTGATCTTGTCCTTGGCTCGGGCTCCAGGACCTGGGCTGCCAGGGTAGGCACAACCAGGCCTGCCCCCGCCCCCATTGGGCAAGCTGCCGTCTGGCGCCCGGGGCTCCCGGCCGTTGGAGATGCGGAAGGCAATGCGAACCTCACCAGGGCCCGGGCCGGGCCGCTCCTCCTTGCGGAGGCCCTTGGTGGGAGGGCTGTCCCGCTGGGCCTCGAAGTGGGCCACTGCCTCAGCTACGCGGCTGCAGTCCCCACCACCGGACCGCCGTTCGGAGCCCAGCCCCTTGGCCGGTCCGCCCTGCTCAGCAGACACAAAGACCACAGGTGCTGGGGTGGCGGGGCGCGGGTAGCTCTGCAGGGCCAGGGCGGCCCGCTGTTCTACCAGGGCCACCATCTCGGCCACAGAGAGCAGGTCTTCATCGGCTGAGGCGGGGCCCTCCTCAGGAGCAGGGGGCCCCTCCCGGCCCCCCGGGTCTGGAGGAGCCTTAGTAGGCTCAAGACAACGCCTCCTGCGCTTGGCCTTGGAGCTGTCACTGCCCCAGTGCCCCTTGACCTTCATGGAGCTGGCCCGGCTGCCCCCACCACACTGGTGGGCCACAAAGAAGGCCACTTTCTCCTTTGTATTCCCGGGCTTGATAACATACCACGTGTCCAGCAGGACTCGACCCTCGTCGCCAGCAGCTGCTGCGGAGAGGAGTGGAGCAGGCTGGGAGGCGGGGGCCTCCGTGGCCAAGGCAGGCGGTGTGTTCTCGGAGTGGGCAGGCCCATGGTCTGGCTCAGCCCCGCCGCCAGGCTCAGGGCAGGCTGATGGCTTGAGGGTCGCGGAAGGTGGGCGCGGCTGGTTCTGTGAGTAGGTGCCAAAGGGCCGGGGACACCATAGCTGGAAGGGCAGGAGGCTGCTGCGGTCCATTCTAGGGGATGATGGCAGACAGGCCAGGGTTCACCGCATCTCAGGACCTAGATGGTGGTGGGAGGCTCCACATGCCACCTAGAGACAGGGAAGAGGAGGTTGGGAGCCAGGGAAACAGCCTTCTTCCAAAGACCACCAAACCTCAACCTCTCCGTGGGGAACAGATCAAATTAAACCATCAAGAACTCTATCCCCCTGCCACACTGCTCAGGTAAGCAAACAGCGCTGCAGAGGAAATGAGCTGCTCTTTTAACAGTGACCCTAGCTTGCCAGCTTGCTCGGACCCTACAGATCCTACGCCACTGCCTGACTACCTCTGCTCACAATCCAGAGACCTCCTGCTGCCACAATCTCTAAACTTAAGTGAAAGTACCGACTGACAGACAAGCTTCTCCTTTCCTATCTGCTCTCCCAGCAGCTCCTTCCTGAAAAGGCAGGAATTCCCAGCCCCGCCCACAGCTATGGCTGCTTGAGCCCACAGCGGGAGGAACAGTGTAGGCTGGGTAAGGGGAGAAAATCTGAGATCAGAGCCAGACAGGCCCTTAAGAAATCAGCTCTTCACTTTTTTGGGTCGTGGGGCTCTTTGACATCTCTATTTTTGTTTTTTGGTTTTTTTGCAGATAGAGTCTTATTGTGTTGCCCCAGCTCAACTGAAGTGGCATCATCATAGCTCACTGCAACATGCAACTTCTGGGCTCAAGCGATCCTACGTGCTGCCTCAGCCTCCCTAGTAGCTGGAACTGCAGGCGCACGCCACCACAACCAGCTAATTTTTCTGTTTTTTGTAGAGATGGGGTCTCGTTCTTGCTCAGGCTGGTCTCAAACTCCAGAGTTCAAGCAATCCTCCCACCTCAGCCTCCCAGGGTGCCAGGATTACAGGCTTTAGGTACCATTACCGGCTGAGAACCTCTTAAAACTGTGTATCCTCACCCAGAAAAATACACACCTTGCAAAGACTGTGCAGGTAATTCCCTGAAGCACAGCCATAGACCCCTGGGAAAAGAGGGCCTATTCTTAGTCTAGCTCCCTCCTCAAGTTGCACACGGATAAACTGAGGCTCAGAGTGCGGAAGAGTTATATAGCTAAGACACAACGGGTCCAGAGCAAAAATAAGCTCTCACACTTGGTTTCCGGACTCTTTCATTCAGGACTTTCTTTTTTTTTTCTTTGAGACAAGGTCTCACTCTGTCACCTGGGCTAGAGTGCAGTGCATCATCATAGCTCACTGCAGCCTCAAATTCCTGGGCTCAAGCAATCCTCCCGCCTTGGTCTCCCAAAGTCTTAGGATTACAGGCGTGAGCCACCAGGCCTGGCCCAGGGCTCTCTTAATAATGACTATTTTACATTGCAGTGACTTTATGTGAATGACCTAATCTGGAGACAATTTTGGTCATGAGTCCAAAATGGCCACCCCTTCCATTGTACTTTCTACCTACTGATAAGGAGCATATGTCTCAATCTTTTTCTAGCCCATCTTCCTCCAGATATCTTGCACCTTCCACGTGCCTACAGAACTAAGAAGTCAGAAAACGATGGCCTACAGGCCAAATCCAGCTCATTGCCTGTCTTTGTATAAAGTTTTATTGATACACACTTACTAGTTTATGGCTGCTTTCATGCTACAACAGCAGAGTCAAATAGCTGCAGCAAAGACCATATGGCCTGCAAAGCCTAAAATATTCACTGGCCCTTTATGGAAAAAGTTTGCTGATTCCTGCAGTACAGACTGTCCCTCTAAATTCAATTGATTCCACAGACACCCCATTCACTTCATGGTCCTGCAGACACCATTCAAAATCCAGACAGCCTCCAAACACTCAAAGATACCAGTTACAAAGAGAATTCCAATCTTTAGAATCTTTATCCCCCCATAATCCCTAATCCCACCTACCCCTCAAATACTTACAGTCCTTGCTTAAAATCCCAGCTCATTGCTAAAAATATCACCACACAGCTTCCAAAACCTATAGATAGCTAAGTTTATCAACTGACAATTCAGACAGAGGTTGAGCATCCCAAATCTGAAAATCCAAAATGCTCAAAAATCCAAAATTTTTTGAGTGCCAACATGATGCTCATAGGATATGTTCATTGGAGCATTTCAGATTTGGGATGCTCAACTGGTTAAGTATAATGAAATACTCCAAAATCTGAAAAAATCTGAAATCTCAAACACTTCCGGTCCCAAGCATTTCAGATAAGATACACTTAACCTGTACATGTAAATGCTCAGGGGAAGAAGCTGACACAGAAAAGGCCATTCTCTACAGAGGCTGCCCCTCTACAACTTGGCCACCTGCTAAAATCCTGTAAACCTTATCTGGAGAATCTCAATGCCTTCCTGCAAAATCCAGAACCTTTCAAATCCTACGTTAAATCCCCAAACCTAAAAATATCCTCTCCGGCACAAAAGGGCTCAATCTCAACGAACCTCTCACAGATCCCAGCACATGCAAAAATTTCCCAACCTCACAGATGGCTCAAACGACCAGTCTCCTGGAATCCTATACTCACCCCGCCACACACCAATTATCTCTTAATTCAGAAGCCCTCCAACTGCAAAGGAACTAAGACACAAAAACTCCCTAACACTTAAGACTAATCCTGAACCATATAAATAGTTCATAAAGCCCAAAGAATCCCCGAAGAAACCTCACAAATGCTTCAACAGCGGACATGTGCTTACTGCACGTTCACTGCGAGCTTCCTAGATGCTGTTCTAACAAGTCCTGTGAATCCTCCCCAGTCCCTAGGAGGCAGGTGGTGTTATTAGTTCCTATTTCCAGATGAGGCACAGAAGGGTTAGATCGTCCGGGGTCAGACGGGCAGAGTCAAGACGCAAGCTCTGGCATTCTGGCTCCAGAACTGGTACTCCTGGGCTCTTTGCTTCTAAGTCTCCCCGGAGCTCCCCAAATCCTATACCCACCAAACACCCCAAGCCACCAAGGAGGCCCGTAAAACACAACTCAACCTTCTACATTAAAAATGAACCCAAACCCCAAGGCGTCCCTTAAGATCAAGGGAACCCCAAAGTATCTCCTACGTCCACACAAAAACTTTCCCAAGCCCCCAAATATTGCTTAAATGCAAAAGGACCTCCCCAAATCTTGTACCCGCCTCCAAAAGAATCTTTAGAACCCCTCAAATGACCCTCAAAACCTGTACACGCCCCCAGAGCACCCTCACCCGCAGCCCCCCCCAGACGGCTGGAGCCGGTGGCAACACACACGCATGCGCGCGAAAAGGGCGCGGGCCCGCCCCCTCACTCCTTCCCTCCGGCCACCGCGCGGGCTGGCGAGCAACTAGCTTCCCTCCGCCCCTTTGTTGACAGACGCGCGCGTGACGCCCCCAGCCAATGAGCGGCTGCCGTTCGGGGCCGTGCCCATATAAGGAAGGCCCCGGCGAAGGGGCCCAACTTCGAAATAGGGAGGAGTAGGCGAGAGGTGCCGGGAGGGGGCGGTGGGGTAGAAACAGCAGGATGTAAGGGAGCGTGGAACAATTACCAACGTTCAGCTAAACGGAGGAACAAGGCCAGGGCAAAGGCCACGACACTCAAGAGCAGGCTTATTGCACGACCTTCCCTCTAAACAGGAGCCCTGATTGACAGTAGAGATTTAAAGGGCCAGGCAGCCCCAGGATTGCGAACTCCAGGGCGGAAGGAAGCGGGCGGAGAGATCTGAGAGCGCTCAGTTTCGGTCGGGAAGCGTGGGGACCGAGGTTTTCCGCAGGGGAGACTGGGCGCCGGGATCACCTCACCCTGAGAAACTAACAGGCAGAAGCCTAGACGGTCACGGCGGCACTGAGTCTAAGCCTCTGGGCCTGGCATTCAAGGCTCAGGACAGGGCCCTGTGGGTTCAGCCTTTCCAACCGGGTGCCCCAAACCTGGCTCACAGTACAGGACAACAATAAGAAATAAGCTAATGATGACTTTTAAGTATTGATTACCTGTTAATTTAAAATTACACATATCTGTCCATGCCAAGACTGGGACTAAAAAAAAGAAAAGAAAAAATAAATAAAATTACATATACGGCTCGCGTATTTCTGTTGAACAGTGCTGGTCTAGGGCCTTTTAATGGCAGGCCGATTCAAGAGACACCCAAAGGGGGCTCCTAGCAGGCTCTTGTCCTGGTGTCTTCTGTCCCCCCACAACCCTGCCCCAGCATTGCCTGTTTCCAACTATCCCCGCACATGCCTGCCAGAGGGCAACCCAAAGGGTCTTTTAAAGCACGAACCTATAAACCTGACCCTGTCCCCACTCTGCTCAGAACCTGCCATGACTCCCCAGTGCCCTCCAGAAAAAGCCCAGCTACCCTACCTGTCCAGTCTCATCCACTCTTCTACCCCCAGCACTCCACGTCCCCAGTGGACCCTGACGGGCACCAGATCTGGCACACAGAGTAGTTAGAATATTCAGGCCCTGTCTGACCCTCTGTAGGAGGTATTATCCTCTCCACTGTATGGATGAAGAAACTGAAGCAAGGCAGGTTGCCTCCCAGCCCAAGGTCACACAGAGCAGGGAGAGGAAGCCAGGGAATCTGATTCCAGAATCACCCCCTACTGTTTTACTGTATAACCTCTGCGGTCTCAGCTCACCCATCCCCTCCTCCAGGGAGCTGAACCCCTTATCCCCACCCTCAACCCACCCTCGCTGGGTCAGGCTCCAACTCAGGTGCCCACCCTGGCTTCCTTGCTATCTATTCCTCAAAGTGTCCAAGCTCTTCCCTTCCCTGGTGGCTGCACTGGCTGTTCCCGCCAACTGCAATGTATTTCCCCAGACCTCTACAAGCCTCATTCCTTATTTCATCCAGGTCTTGCTCAAATGTAGTTTTAATAGAGAGGCCTTTCCAAAACTCCCTTCCTGGAAACCACTCACCTGCCCACAGGGGAACCTCTGGGTTCCCTCATCCCAGCCCCATGGGAATGGGTCTGTCTCTCCTGCTGGACTGTAAAACCCCCCAGGGCAGCATGCGGGGAGAAGGGTCGGAGGCAGGATTTTCTAACTCCCCACACACTGAGCCGAGCACAAGGCCTCACACTAAGTCAGCCTTCAGAGACTACTCCACGAAGAT